CGGGAGCTCTGGATTCGGGTAAAGAGTCTACTAACTATTACTGACTAATAACCACTTAATCATACAATGATTAAGTTAACTTCAACAGATGATTAATGTCGATCAAATTTCTTGATATATTTTATCTGTCTAAAATAATGAACTAGAAGTAAACAAAATTTATATTACTAATTAAAAATAGCTTTCGCTGGCATATATATTTATATTTTTAAAAATGTATAGTGAACAAGATTAATATGCCTGAGATTAAAACAAGTTCACAAAAATTTTGTTTTCTGAAGAAAATAATGAAATGAGCAATTTTTTTCAAATAATGGGTATATCTAAAAGGCTCAATGTGCGGAGTTTCGACGTGAATGTATTTACAGTAAATACTTTTTCTTGCATATATGTAAATAAAAATACTGCAATTATGTTTATAATTTACTGAAATAATTGCAACTTAGTCAACTAGACACCGATTTTGAACGGTTAGTTGTCATTAACTACATATATTTTCCTGCTCGACTTATTTGAGCATCTCTTTAAAGAATATTAATTTCTATTTCTTCACAAAGCTTACTAAAAAATATCAGTTTTTTAGTTTTTGACCAGCGAGGGGTATACAAAGCAGCTACTTCAACACAAATGAACTTACATACAGCTTAGTACTTAAACCGAAAGTATCGAGTTAAGGTTAGTTGGTGATCATTTTGAAATTAGAAAAATCAAACCTTCTGCATTTGACTTCAGATTTCCTTAATTAAAGCTTGAAGGAATTTTCATTGTTACTCATACGCTCTGGTAAATGTCAGTTGTTTTAGTTCCTTGTGTTGTTAGTGATGAAAAAAATAACAATACAAATATAGTTACCGTAGTTCATTCCACCGCCATTAAAATATTTTTAAATTGGTCCCAAATTGGTTCCATTTCATTTTCTTTTCTTTTTTTAAAATTCTTTTCCTAAAGAGGTTTTTTCGAACAGTAGTGAAATACAACAACAAAAATTCATTTTATATTATTTTATTTAATTGAATTTTTAGCTGACCATGCAGCTGTTTCGAGTATTGCCAAATACCCATCATCATGGTCTTGGAAATAATTCTTGTATTAATTTATTCATAAATAATTATTATTGATACTGCAAGTACCTGGAATTGAATTCGGGTTTAGCCAAATGTGAAGCTCAGTATCAGCGTACCTTAACCAACTGACCCAAAGCCGACTTCTCTTTTTTTGTTCGCACATTTTTCTGGAGTTTTTGTTACTTTGCTACGAAAGTTTTATTAACAAATTTACTTGCTGTGTTTATATTAGAACGAAATCATAAACCAG